AAAACAGGAATGCATTCCTAACACAACTAATACGTTTTATGTTTTTATTTGCCAATCAAACATTGAACAACGTTTAGTCGCTGTTGATGTTCTGACCAGAGTTCTTCCAGAGTCTGTCTTGCTGCAAGAGCAGAAAATGGAAACAAACGACTGAAACGACAGGGCGAGCTTCCCATTGGCAGCTTTCTGTAGCCAGACAGAAACTGCAAGAAACAGCCAGAAAAGGCCAGAAGGGGTCAGAAACAAAAACATGGCCTGTGTGAAAACAGAAACAGCCAGAAACAAAGAGAAATGGCCAAAAACGTCCAGAAACGCCTTTGTGGGGACAGAAACAACAAGAAACAGCAAGAAGCTCCCTGTGAAAGAACAGAAATGTCGGAATAAAACCGACAGCAACTGCAGGAAGGTGCTGGTTCAAACCTTTGCAGAAGAGAAGAATTACTGACAGAGGTGTTTTCCTCTGAAGAACGATGGACTTTAGGTTGTTTGGAGATAACCTTTGACCCTTAGAGAACCAACAGTTGCTGCTAAGTTTTTCCACTGTACCATTGTGCTAACAACTCCTGATTCTGTAGAGCAGGAATCTGATGATGACCTGCTGGCTAGCAGTTAGCCCTTAGTAGCTAACTAGCAGCTCCTGGTTCTGACTCAACCTCTCACAAAAAGCAGGAAGGAGATGCTTGTTTGTTGTGATTCGCCTAACAGAAGGAAATGATTGGTTCTCATTGTGATTCCAGGTGATTCTAACTGACTGAGGAATGCAGTAACTGTGTAAATCATTGGCATGGACTATAAACCGCTGTTTGTGTCACTGTGACCCAATTCAGAGCAAACAAACTTCGGTACCACTTCCAGGAAGGCGCACGTGTTTCTGAGAATGGACAGGTACACAACACCTGCTTTAAGTGTTGTGTACCTGTGTGTCCAGAGGTGCATTGACACCTGAAGCTGGACGGTTTGAAGGTTTTGTTTGTCACAGATTTAATATTTCTTCACAGAAGCCGTTTCTGAATGAGAGTGGTCATCTGATCAAACTGGAAAGGCTTAAACAAAGTTTAACTCTGAGCCCTGAAAGCCTCACCCCAAGTTCTGAGAACTCACCCAACCTGGACCAGAATCAGGACCAGAACCAGGATCAGAACTGTGAATGCCTTACCTTTTTGGTGTCGTCCTCCATCCGAGCTGCAGTCGTCCGTCTGAAGGAACTCTAGGCTTCAGGATAAAGTCCAGAAGACTATTAACAGATTATTAACCATCAGCACAGAAACCTTTACCCATCTCACACCTGAGCTCACCTGGGGGGGGCAATCATCAGCCCCGAGGACAGGAAGAAGCTAAACAGCACACATTCATCACCAGCCGCTCTCGCTGTGAGGCCTGGAAGGAAGCTGTGACTGAAACTGCTTCAGCAGACAAAAGGCTTCCTGTTGACCTCTGACCTTAGGGTTCTGTCATGGCCCGATAGTCGGACCAGGAAACTCGTCAGGCAAAGAGGTCTTCCTCCTGGATCAACATGAAGAGCAAAACATGGACTTGGATTCAGCTGGAGTTGGAATGGTGTGGAAGCTGTTGGAGGCAGCTTTCAGGTGGTTCTATACTGGTTCTTCACTGGTTCCGCCACACTTCATCATGGCCGGCTCCACCGAGACGCCACGGCGGTGTGACATCACGGTGAAGGACAGGAAACCATCGCGCTGATGTCTCCCAGACAGCATCTTCATCATCATCCTGGTGAAGTTAATTAAGTTGATTTCTTTCTTTATCCAAAGTGAGTCTGAAACCTCGTGGACAGCAGGTGGGAAACATCATCAGGATATGACCTCTGAGCCCTGATCAATAACCCACCAACACAGGAAAATGTTTCACACATGCAGCATTTTTATTGCATTTCCATCTGTAAACAATATTAAAACAATTTCCTCTTTGCATCATTTTCAACTCAAACAAAAATAAGAAAAAAATCAAACCTTCAAAAAAGTCATCAGACAACCAGTTAAAACCAGTTCAGACCAGTTCCCACTGGTTCAATCACAGGATGCTGAGATGTTTAGAACATTTTAGACATTGTGGAAACCAGTTGAGACCAGGTCAGACCAATATTAACCTCAACATACTTCAGTCCAGTTCAAAATAGTTTATACAAGTTTTAACAAGGTCAGGCAGTTATGACCAGTTAAACCAGTTCAAGCCAGTTTTAACCAGTTCTGACCATGTCAGGCACATTTAATCTACTTCTCACCAGTTCAGAAGATTGTTTACTGGTTCAGTTAAACTCTGTGGAACCAGTTCCAACTGATTTAACCTATTTCAGACCATTAATACCCAGTTCAGACCAGTTGAAACCAATTTAAACATGTTTTAACCAGGTTAGACCAGATGAAACTACATAGCAGCTTTAATCAGATAATATTGAAATAAATTCAGACACTGAAACCATTTCAGACCAAACCAGTTTAAATATCCGTTCTGGCCCGATTAAATCAATTAACTCTGAAATTCCCACTGAAATACTTTGACTGGACCAGGAACTGGGCAGATCTGACAAGTAACTGGGAGAATCAGCTGCTAGAAAACCTGTTCTCTGATAGGCTGATTTGGAGAACTGACTCATGGGACCAAAATTCACCAACGCTTTGCCTCGCCTCCAGACAAGGAGCTGGAGGACAGAGACCAGACTGGACCAGATCAGAACGGACCAGATCCAACCATACCAGAGAAAAGGAACAGAATAGGCACAAGCAAACTGGACCAAACTGGACCAGAGGAACCATCGTGAGACTGAAATGAGCTGAAAACAACCAGTAGAATCGGATGAAGCGAGGATGAGGACGTGAAGAAGGAAGAAACTCCTTGGTCACGTGGCCTGAAGCATCCAATCAGAACCAGAAACTGAGAGGAACAGGAAGCAGGCGGTCTTCCTGTCCAGGGTATCATTCAGGGGAGTGAGGGATGGTCCTGCCAGACTGGTTCCAATGCTGGTTCCCAGTACATCACAGACTGTGTTGACTTCAACCCAAACCCAGCATTCAACGTCTTCTTCTCTGCGGCTCATTTCTGAGCAGGAAGTCCCTCAGCCGCAACAGGAAGTCCCTCAGCCGCAGCAGGAAGTCCCTCAGCCGCAGCAGGAAGTCCCTCAGCCACAGCAGGAAGTCCCTCAGCCGCAGCAGGAAGGAAGCGTCTGCGTGTTTCAGATCGCTGTTGACCATGCCAGGTCCGTGTTTGGCCCCAGCGCCTCCACAATGTCACTAAGCCTCTGGCATTTCGCGCAGAAATATTTCTGGGTCACGTAAACCCGATCAATAAAGATGAAAATCACATCCGGTCCGACAGTTTAATAATTTGTATCCGATTCAAAACCAAAACAAATTACTTCGTTCGACTGTTTTCTCTGACCTGTGCAGCGTGGAGCCGCTGCTCGGCCCGCCCACCGCTTCACCTGGAGCCACACCCAGGTGAGGGGTTGGAGGCGGAGCCTCACCTGCTGGTTCCAACTGAAGATGGTGTCTGCAGGTGAGGAAACTCTCCATCAGGGCCGAGCTGAGTTGATTCACTGGTTGATTGATCAAACTGATCAATTTCTGATTGAAGGACGCAAGAACCTATAACCTGAACCTAGTATCCACTGAAACACAGCAGTAAGATCAATACATTGATTTTTCTTCATAAATATAAACTCTGTCTTAAATATTGATTATTGATGTCCATGTGTGTTCAGACCCCGCCCCCTGCGTGAAGCCGGCCTCCAGCGTCAGCAGCTCTTCAGCGGTGCGCTGCAGAGACACAGAAAGGCTGTTTACACTTTATCCACATCATCAATTCATTTATTATTGGCTCGGTCTGAACCAGGTGCTTCCCGCAGGTAAAGCTGCTCTCCACCCTGTGCTCAGGTCACACAATAAATTGCGCCCACTGACACAGGTGTGAGCTTCGCTGCTGTTTCAGATCATCAACTCATCTCAGACAAAAGCAACCTGAATAAAAGCTAAAAGTTTTTAAATCGTGATTTCATCCCTGAAGGAAAAAGCTCAAAACCAACCTGGGCCTGAGGTTCAGTTAACCAGCCTGACCTCCGCAACCCAGATGTCACAGAACCTGCCTGACAACAGGAAGTAGGCCACCAGAGTTCCAGAAGCAGCTCTGACATGCAAAACCTCCAGAGAACATGAAAAACCCCTAACCGCTAACAGCTAACCTCTCACAGCTAAGCAATAACAGCTAACATCTAACCACAAACAGCTAAACAATAACAGCTAACAGCTAACCTCAAACAGCTAAACAATAACAGCTAACTACTAACAACTAACCTCTAACAGTTAAACTAAGTGCTAACTGCTACATCGCTGAGGAACGTCTGTTGCTGGAACTGACATAATAAATAAGACACAGGAAAATTGGACCAGGGACATGTCTAGGAGTTGCAGGTCTGGAACATCTACAGCGGATCAGCTGAGGGACATCAGGAATCTACAGACAGAGCTAACTATGACATATTTATATGGGTTGGCCTAGTAAAAGCCTGGTATTTAACCAGAGACGCTGCAGCCTGACTCCCAACAGGTTCCTCCAGCTGGAAAACCCTCGTGTCTGAATTAAAGCCTCCAGAAGAGCAGGGCTCAGAGTTCACCCAGTTTACAATGGGAAACTCGTTCCCATTGGAAACACTTGATGGGACCAGTTACTGCATTCAGGGTGTGAATACTTTTCCACACAGAAAACCTGCTAATTTCTCAGGTTCTCTGATGCTAACATGAGTTGATGATCTGAAACCCTCAGAAGAATATGGAAGAGGCGTGAATACTTTCTACAGACTGATTCAGCCAGTGCCTGCTGGGACTCTCCCACTCTGAAGCCGCTCTGCAGACCAGTTTACCCAACATCTGTTTGCAGGTGAGAAAGTCTGAGGCGTGCCCATGAGCAAGGCACCGGCAGTCAAACAGAGGGGAACGTAATGGCGCCCACGGAAGTAATGGCGCCCGCGGAAATGATGACGCCCACCATGGTTAAAGAGCAGTTGGACAGTTTATTAACAGATTCAAACAGAAAGACATGTACACTGGTCAGAGTCTCTGATCTGCAAACAGACGGTAAAAAGAGTCCGACAGTCACAGCAGAGAGAAGATCCACCTTCATCATCCTCGTCTGGCTAACAGTCAGTGTGTCCTACCTGTCCCACATGTCCCCGGTCCATGAACTCAGGCTCAGGGCTCCAAACACAGAACGAGTGAGACGTCAAAACAAAACGTCTCTGAACATAAACCAGGAGGATCCAAGAGCTACATCGGACAATCTGATTGGCTAAAACTACTTCCTGTTTACTGGAACCCACCTTACTGGGAACCAGTTGAGATCCAGTTTAAAGGGACCCAGTTTACCAATGAAGTGAACTGACTGTTGGAGCCAATCAAACGCAGCTGCGATGATGTAAGCACACTAGGGACTGGAGTGTGTGACTCCCGACCATGTTCTGGACCCCCAGCCTCAGTTTGGACCACACTCAATTTCACAGTTAAACGTCTAAACAGAACTTCAAAATAAAGTACAAATAATTTCAGTCAAACTCGACAGGAAGTGATGTCAGTGTGTCAGCATTTCAAGCCCCATTAGGACCTGAAGGGGGCGCCAGAGCATCATCGAAAGATACAAAAATAAAACTGTGAGCCATTTTGATCGATGACCTCACCATTATGAAGCCTGATGAGAGATTAGTGTTTACAACAGGTCAGGTAGGAGTGATGTCATCATGATGTCAGCCTGGTGAGCCAATCATCGCTTTGAATCTCCTGATAAATGATGACATCAGCGAGCTGAAATGCTGCCACCTGACCAGGTGGTAGATTAAGCACCGCCCCCTGCCATCTGAGGCTCCTCCCCTCCTCTCCACACAGGAAACAGTCTTTATTAGTCTGGGTTGGCTCCTCCCAGTGAACGTAAGGGGCGGGCCAAGTGTAATAGGGGCGGGGCTTATGCTACGTCTCGAACTGCGTGAGCAGCGCGCGGACCTCGGGTGTCAGCTGCTTGGCGGCGCTAGCGGCTTCGGCGATGGCGCGGCGGTACGGCCCCTTCCTCTTCTTGTCGAAGCGCGACTGGAACGTCTCGAGGAAGGGCGAGAGCTGCGCCAGCGGCAGGAAGGAAGTGGTGGGCGAGCCGAACCAGGAGACCCGCGCCTCCTGCCGCACCGCCAGCCCCGTGTCGCCACGGCGCGCCACCGTGATGCCCAGCACGCGTGCCGGCCACCAGGGGAAGCCGTAGATCTTGGCCCAGACGATGTCACCGACGCACACGGTGCGGCCATCCGGCAGCAGACACTTGGACACGGACTTGGAGAAGACGGACGACGAGGACGAAGACGAGGAGGAGGAGGACGTGGACGACTTCCTGCGGCGCTTCAGGTCGCCGTCCTCCTCGTCCTCGCCCGCCAGCGGGGTGCACAGAGGGACGAAAGAGGAGGGAGGGGCTGGGGGAGGGGCAGAAGAAGAGGAGGGCGGATCCCCAGGGGGCGGGAGGTCAAAGGTCTCTGTGGAGCTGCACTCTGAGTGGGAGGAGTCTAGGGAGCAGGAGGACGGCAGGGGAGGCTCCGCCTCCTGCCAGCCAGCTCCTTCCTGCGCCTCTCCGTCACTCGTTTCTATGGCGACAACGGCCGGGGGCGGGGTGGGAGGAGCTGGCGGCGAGGGGGTGGGGCTTGCGGCAGGTCGGGGCGACGCCTCAGAGGCAGAGCTCGGCGCTGGGTCGTCGGTACGATACCTTTGAGGTTTGAGGCGCATTCTGGGTGGCAGCGGCGCAGGGACGGCGGCACCGCCCGGGTTCTGCAAGCGGCGAGTGAAGTGGACCTTCTGGCCGTGGTTCTGCACTGCCGCGGCCCGGGTCACCGCCTTGCCACCGTCCTGGTTCTGGTCTTTGGGCCGGCGGTGTGGAGCCAACTTCTGGAGGACCTTGCGGGCGTCGGGCCGGTCTGGCGCCGGAGTCAAAACCTTCTTAGAGTTCAGTTGCAGGCGCATCCGGCCGGATGCCGCCGTCGAGGAAGAGGAGGAGACCACGCCTCTCAGGACGCGCCGCGAGGACTGCGGCCCTGGTAACCCTGACGATCGCTTGTCGGCACTGCGCCCCGACTTGTCGTCCATCTTCAGACGCTTCAACTCCGAGGACATGGGAGCGTCCGCTGGTCGACGCCGCCGTGTCGCCTCCTCCCCCCGTCGCGCCTCCCGGTGGCCGCCTGACGCCACCACACCTTTGCACTTATCACAGAGCACCTGGCGGGGGCGGAGCTTGATGGCGTTCATGATGGAGGTGGGCTCCTCGCTGCGGTAGCGCCGCTTCGGCCTCTTGATCTTACGAGGCGGCGGCTGAGGTAAGGCCTGCTGGTAGGTGTCCCTGATGAACAGAGGCGGTGGGTACGGCGCCCCCTCCTGGAACAGCGGTGGTGGCTTGGGGCCGCAGGGCTGGGGGGCAGCTGCCTCATCCAGCTCAGTATGCGGCCCGTCGCTAGTGGCAGCTGTCTGCAGAGACGCCGCGGGACGGCAGCGGTTGTCTCGTCTGGGAAACACGGTGACCGGAATCCCGAAAGGTCCGAACCTGCAGAGACAGGGCAGTACTGTTAGAACCAGAACAACAGCTGGTACCAGAACATCTGATCAATAGAATCGACTGGATCAGAACCGGGTCAATACCCCATGACAACCGAGAAAGCAACACCAAGCTTTGAAGAGTCTGAATGGTTGTGGCTCAGCTCTCTTCCAATCCGATTGTTGTTTTTGGTCCAGAACTTTTGAACCAAAACCTGCTGAGTCATCAGCTGGTCTGGAAGGGTCAAAACCCTAAACCAAAGAGTATTCCTGCAGCGCTGGATGAGAGGAACCCAACTAGAACCAACCAGAGCCATCAGAGCCAAAGCTGGCATCATCATTTATTTTTTAATAGTTCATTTGTATCTAGTGGCTCTTTAATTTTATTGTCTGTACGAATGGGCCAGATAATTTCCTTCATGATCAATAAACTACCTACCTAACTTTTCTGACCCATAGATGGCCGACCTCAACCAGTCTCTCTCTGGAGACCAAGCTGGCTGAGCTGTTACTGAGACCAAGGTCTGTAGAGGTTCTGTCAATCAGGGGTCTCCCAGTCTAGTCCACAAGGGCTACAAAATACAACTTTTAGATGCATCTCTGCTCAAACACACCTGGATCAAATAACCTGCTTGTTCCCAGCCTATTGCAGAGCTGAATGAACGCTGCTGAGGGAATTCAGACATTTTGGAGCAGAGATGCATATAGAAGTTGCAGGATGGTAGCCCTTGAGGACTGGACTGGGAGACCCTTGCTGTGGAGGTTCTGCCTCTGGTGCACAAGAACATCAAACATGACCCAAAACTCAGCAGGACACCATGTTGGTTCTGTTTGTAAGCTCTGAGGACAATTGACAAAGGTTTTGGACCTTTAAACCCATGTAGAAACCAGAACCAAAACAATGCTGGCGATCCGGTTCTTTCAGAACCAGCTCTATCAGAGGAGATCCTCATGCAGAGACAACAACTTGGAGATGATGTGGAGAACCCGACACTGGCTCAGCTACTGGAAAAACACCAGAGAAGAAGGTCCTCCACATACGAATGGATGGAACCTGTCAGAAACCATCAGAACTTTTCAAGACCAACCACTAAACCCACATAGCATCAGAAGTTCTGTTCTGACACTCTTGGGTTCTGGTCACAACAATACGAAACCTGCTGTGGGTGTTGTGGGTGTGATCAGTACCTTTTGGACACGTCCATCAGAACCCCAGAGAAGACCTGCTCCCCCAGCCGGAACGACACCACCAGCGCGTCATCGATCACGTGCTCCAGGCTAACTCGGACCTCGGTACCAGGACTCAGGTCCAGCACAGAACTCGGTTCCGACCCAGAGCTATCCTCGTGCTTCGGTCCCGATGAGCTCTTACAGAACCCGTTGGCAGGTTCTGAGTTCTCATCCAAAACTGAATCCTCCGCAGGTCCAGGTACCAACTCCTCCTGCTCCAGAATCGTGTAGCACCGGTCCAGTTCCGTGGTCTCGGTAGGTTCTGCCGGTTCGGCCAGAGATAGACCGGCCTCAGAGACCGGAGCGGGGTCCGGAACCGAGTGCAGAAAAACTGCGGGGGGTTGCGGGTCCAGGGGAATGGTTTGATAGGTACTGGTACTGTCTGAGTTCGGCAGTCCGGGAAAGACCCTCTCAGAACCGCTGCAGTCCACCGGGAGGTTCGAAAGGCCTGTGGTCGCGGTTTGGTCCGGGTGGACGCCGCTCCGGTTCAACACATCCTCTGTGGTCCCGCTCCGGTCCAGCTGACCCTCTGTGGTTCTGTCTGTCGCGGGTAAAACCGGTCCCGCCCCGGGGTTCTGCTCCGGACCAACATGGCGGCTCTCCCTGGATTCTCCGTTGTCTGGGTTCCCGCCTGGTCCTGATTCTGGGCCGTCGGTGGGTTCCGCCGGAATCTCGTGATATGCGGGGCTGTACGGTCCGGGTTCCGGCGGACTCTCGGACCGTGTTGTGGTCGGAACCGCAGCTCCTGGCTCCGCAGCCACGGCCGCCATTTTGTTCCGTTGATCTACTGAGTGGCGATGAAGCCCCGCCCTCCTACTCCGCGGCCTCTCGCCTAGAACTGCTCTGATTGGTCCGATGTCCTGTCAGTTAATAACAGCGGGGTAGAGCGCCATCTGTGATTGGCTGATTCACCGAGACTCTATGGCTTCGCATCGTTTGTCAGCCGGTGAAACAGGCGGCGCATCCTGTGGTCGGAGCTTCTCTCTATGAAACCCACCGGATCTCCGGCGGGAAGACCCGTTAGGATCCAGCAGCAGGATCACATGACTGATGTGATTAAGTAACTGAATAAAGAACTCCAGGCTGATCTTAAACCTACATCTCATCCGTATATTAAAATGTTCCACTTTATTAATTGTTATTGATGCAATCAGGCTGGATTCATCTGAGCAGATAAGATGTTGTGACTCCTCCTTCACTGCTGCCACTATCCACATATTCTCTGTTCTCCATCCGGATATGTTCTTCCAGTCTCACAGTTTATCTGCTTCACTGTTTCTCAACAATGAAGGAGTCACTCAATGTTTTCTCTGACAGCATCTGACTTCTCAAAGCTTTGGTTGTAGAAGATGTTTGCTTGCGCTAATCCAGGTTCTGGTCCTGAAGGAGGTTTTATTCCTGTTATATGGGAGTTACTTCTTTCTACTGCCACTTGTTTAAGCCAGTAAATGTCTGGTTTACTCACCATCATAACCTAAACTTGATGTAACGTGAAGTTACCAGGATTAATTTCAGTCTGTTTGATGTGTTTTGGCACTCTTGTATATTGTCGAGAGATGAGTTTGTTTGTCTCTCGGGGTGAATTGCTATTGGAAACTGGCTCTAGGTAGATAGGGAATTTGTTTGAGAAAGCAAGCTCCTCCCACACCACTCAATATCAATTCCAGCTGGGCCATCAACCAGCTAACTGTAAGGGAATGAATCCTTAATGGATCAAAACACAGATGATGACTGAACAGAACCTGAACCCGGTCACTGCAGCTCAGTTTAAAACAAAGCTTAGGGTCTAAAGTCTTTATTCTAATCTTAGACAGTAAGTGGACAGTTCTGTTCACATGGACCAGAACCTGATGAAAAAACAGATTTATTAATTCTTCTGATGCCTTTCAGTGTCACAACATACCCTTTTGATATCTCAAGATGTAATGGACATTACAATAATAATAATAATAAAATAATAATAACTATTATTATTTTATTATTATTATAAATAATAATAATTATTATTATAATGACAGAGAAAAGAAACAGATCAGACTCAGTTTATCAATATGTTTATTGACGGCAGCCAATAAGTGCTTCGGACAATAATCAGTAATCAATAACCAGTGATCAATAATCAGTGTCTTCAGTCAATTTATTCATATCTCAACTCTAGACATTAAACGTCATTCATCATCTGGTCAGCTCATGTTCTTCTCATCTCTAAACAATCACCTGCTTATTGATTATAGATTAAATTTTACTGTTAAAATTGTCCATATGTCTAATTGGCCTGCTGTGATTGGTCCAGACACTGTGATGGGTCCAGGTACTGTGATGTAGCATCCTGTGATTAGTTAGAGAGCACTGAGGCCACTCCCTTCTTTCTCATTCAGTCCTTTTAAAGCCACGCCTTCCTTTGTGACCACGCCCCAGTCATCAGGAGAAACCACGCCCTCTTTCAGAGCCACGCCCTCTTTCAGGTGGGAGCCACAGCTTCCTTCAGACCTTAACACACAGAATAATTAACAATTCCAATCAGGTTATTTATAAGAGGATAGAACTAATAAGTGAGCTCCAGGGTCATGGAGGAGCAGCGCTCTCGATGCGGTCCATCAGAACCTCCCAGAACCTGGAAGAAGGAACCACGATCACAGGGTCCAAATACCGGTTCCAACCTCAGGATCCCACTGCAGGATTCTGCAGTGGGACCTACCTCAGCAGTATTTGAGTTGTTCTGTTTATGATGTTTGCGTCGTTTCATCAGAACCGGTTGAGGTGCAGCTCTCTGTTTTAGGATTCGGGTCAGAACACTGAAGTCGCAGCAGACAGCTCACCTGTTTTCCTCCACATCCTTGATGGTGTCAGGCAGCGGCTTGTTGAGCGTCTCCGGCAGGAAGCAGGCAAAACCGCTGGCCAGCACTGCAGCGCCCCCATAGACCATACTGGGTAGTGCAGGAAACACCTGGCAATGTGAAGAACAGCTCTGTGGTCAGTTGCTAGGGTGATGATGTGATACTGTATGTTTAATCAGGGAGGTCCAAAAATCTAACATTAGCCTCGCTCTAATTGAACCTTTATTATCAATAATTAATCAATACCAGATGTTAGTTTCCTAACAACTGGACTATGATTGCCAAAACTGAACCTTAGAGATGGAGTCAGGATCAAAACCAGAACTGGAGATAGTTCTGGAAACCCAATAAAGACGGGGTAGAGATCATCTCAATTGAATCTGTTGAACCAAGGCTGAATAAATACTTCCGTGTCCAAGTGGACCAGCTGCTATTTAGCCATAAAATGTACCAGAAGGTTCTGATTTTGGTTCTGGTTCCAGTCGGGCTCACCTCGTCCAGGATCAGAACTGCAGGCGCTGCCATGCTGCCAATCCTCGCCATTGTGGAGACGAAGCCCATTCCCGTCTGCCTGGAAGTACAGCACATGACATGTTCAAGTGAGCCGGTCAGAGGTTCTGATGAGGATGGAACCGGGCCTGTTGGTCCCACCTGATGACAGTGGGATAGAGCTCTCCGGTGTACAGGTAAACAGTGGTGAAGGAGGCCGATGTGAAGGCTTTACCCAGACAGGCCAGGGTGGTTCTGAGGTTCTGCATGTCTGCAGGACAGAGACCAGAACCAGATCAGGATAACAGACCGGGTTAAAACCAGAAACACACATCACAGAATGATCAGTGTTAGAATCACAGATTAGAGATTAGATCCGGATCAGAACCAATGATTTAGCCTGGGTCAGAATCAGTACCACACAGTGAGTCGAGTTAGAATTTAACACATAATCTGAACAAAGATTAGAGATGGAGTCAGGATCAGAACCAGAACTGGAGATAGTTCTGGAAACCCAATAAAGACGGGGTAGAGATCAGATCTGGAATCAGGGTGAGTTTCAGGGCTGGATTTAGGGTTATATCAGAACCAGAACCAGAACCTCCGTACCTGTGGGGACAAAGATGTTGGCAAAGATGATGATAGCTGACAGGAAGAGGCACGACACCTGGGAGACCCGCCTCCCCAGGTAACTGAGCATGCCCAGAGCCAAGAACTTTGCAGGAATATCTACGGCTCCAAAGATGATCTGCATCAGGTAAATACTTACCTGGAACGGCCCACAGCCAATCAGAATGCAGTTCACTCCAGAAACAAGGAAGACAGGTGAGAGGACAGACAGGTGAGCAGAAATCAGAGAACTCACCCCGAACTTCTGCAGGTCCATCGCCAAACCATAGTAAGCAAAACTGGTGGAGAACCTGCAGACAGGTACACAAGTAAACACCTGCACAGGTAGAGATTCACCATGAGCACCTAACCCCAACAGGAACAGCAACATGAAGGCTAGAAACAGGTGAAACCGGTTAAAACAGGTGAATGTCTCACCAGACTGCTGTCAGACAGATGGAGATTCGTCTTATTCTTCTGGTCTTCAGCAGATCGAAGGCTGTAAACGATGAGTGGCTCGACTCAATCTCTTTACTCATGTGAGAGTGAAGTACCTGTATTCACATGATGCCAAAGTCAGGTCTTCATTGGTCAGAGTACACCTGTACATGTAGTCAGAGGTTACCTCTAAGGTCAGTTTGTTGATGACCTCTGGTCTCCGATTGATCCGAGCGACTCTGTGGAGACCCTTTAAGGCTTCCTCCGACCGACGGTTCAGCACCAGCCAACGAGCCGACTCTGCATACCACCTGATCAATGTAACAGAAAATTTAGTTTTTAGCCTTATTTCATCTTTGATGGAAATGATGATACTTTTTACCATTTATTTACTAATTATATCTGTTGTGTTTTTGTATTTCTGCAAGATGTGTTTTTCCATTAAAGAAGTTTCCAGATAATGCCTAGATGTTTCTGCAGCTGTGACAGTATAAAAGACCTGAAGACATCTTGTGTAAAATGCGAATTGTCTTAAAGGACTGACATGTGTGGAATGTAGTTTGACTTTGACCCCATGATTAACTGACAAAGAAGAATGAGAAGTTTCTCTTGAAATCCTTATCAGTTCTCTTTCCTGCCATAAAATCCTCCCCTCCAAGAGGCGAGGGACAGTTCATGAGGTGGGGTTAAGGATTGTGTTTGTGATCCATCTGGCAATAAATATAAGAGACATTGTGTGGGTCTTTTCCTTGCTATGACTATGTAACGATGTGATGTGACTGCATTCAGGGCTCTTCTCCTGACTGTGTTCAGTGAGACGGGTCTTCTAACGCTTTTGCCTTCAAATAAAGAAACCTAAAGACAAAGACTAATCTTTCTCTTATTATTGAAACAAATTCTCAGTCTTTTATAAATGAAATTTCCATAACATCAATCACAGCACAGACATTCAACCACCTGACCAATCACAGGACAGACCCATAACCAATTGGGAAAAGGTAAAGTGGACCTCCCTCCTTGCCCCACCAATTCAGAACTTAAAATTATTTGGAGATTTCTGAATATATCACATCTAAAATACTCTAACTGTCCTATCCAGAGCAGCAAATCCAGGAGCGGCTTTCATTTTCTTCGGCGTTGATTGGTGGTTCCCCCCAGAGCGACCATAAGGGAGACTGTTGATGTTAGCATCTGTGTTAGAGCGGGGGTGAGCGCTCCAGAGTGGTCTGGGTCTCGGCCTGTTTTTCCCCGTTCTGGTGTTGGAAGAACCTGTCTCGACTCCATCCCTAGTACGAAGGTATATTTGGTGTACGAACTATTAAGAGAAGTAGCTAGAAGCATTTTCAGGCGTGGTCTCGAGTATTTACAGATTTTAGCAGTTGGCGGGCGCCTGTGGTTCCTAACCCCCCTGAATCCGGGGATCCACTGTACCAGGGCTTCACTGACCAGCTGTAGGTGAAGAACAGGAACTGAGGCGCACAGACGACCAGTTGGAGCTTCCTCCAGTCTCTCAGCCAATAGGCAAGGCCTGCCAAGATCATCTGACCAAAGGTGAAGAAGAAGGAGGTGAGAGTCCCCACTACTGTCCGTGTTTTGGTTGGGATCCACTCCACCTCTGAGGAGACACAGGAAGGAAGACGGTCAGTAGGTGAGCACAGATATTGCAGCTGTTCTGTTTTATCCAACAGTAAACAAAGAATGTTCACATTTCTGACAATAATTAGAATAAATGTTAGACAATAATCTAACATTTAAAAGGGGGGCAGTACAGAAATGACTGAAAATTAGGTTTAATTTTCTCAACGAAGGAGAAGAAGAAGAGCTCTTCAGAAAAAGTTTTCACATAAAACATTTTGACACCCCCTAATGGGGAAAAATGCTGTTACACCTCTAAGCTCTACATCTAAACTATTGAACAGACAAACAAGCAGGTAACCAGTCAGACATGCAAACAGGTAAATGTGTACTGAGTGAGACTCCGTTGAGGATGATTCCAGACAAGGCCATCCCGCTCAGAAACCTGAAGATGCAATAGGCGGTGTATGATGGAGAGAGGGCGGAGCTACAGCCAAGCACAGCCAGCTGTAGATATGACCATATAAGGACAGACTTCCTGCCAAACCTGAGAGACACAGTGTGTTAAGAAATACCCATGGCTGGTAGAAATGACATGAATTCAGACTTATATAGAACATGTCTGATGGTTCCCACAGTCCTGATGGGTCAGGTGAAACTCTGACCAGGTGAGTCTCACCTGTCCGACAGGCCACCAAACACAATGGCTCCAGTTAAAACGCCACCCATATAGATGGTCTGGATCATCTGCTTCAGAGGACGCAGAGAGCACACCAGGTCCCACTGAGACAGACAGGTTTAGAGATAACGTCAGGATGGTGCATTAGAAGCTCTGAAACATGAAGCAATTTATTATCGTAAAGTGAATTAATGAGATTAATGTTGTTATAAATTTGGTCATTAATGTTACTGTGGTTATTAAAACTATTTCTAATGTTGGTATTAATGTTATTAATAAGAGTTGGGCCACTCAGAGTGGCAGCATGTTGGGGTAGCTTTGAACTTTCATTGACATTTTTTTCTTTTTCAAACTTTCATTCTTGCCTTTCTGGAGTAAAAGCTGAAATAATACCACAGCTGAAGCCAGAAATCCCGGAGGAGTTGAAAAGGAGGCGTCAACTTCCTGTTAGGAGGATGGAGTTATTGTCATGCTGCAGGATCCAGTTTGGCTTCAATTGTAATATTTTGACAGATGGTCTCAGATTCTCCTCCACCTACCTCTGATAGACGATGGAGTCCATGAAGTATGTGAGCTAGTCAGGTTCTGCTTAAAACGTCACCCTTAATATGAAGCAGACAAGCACATTTCAGGAACCCCTGAAATTTGTTTGTGCTTATGCACCGAACAGCAGTTCAAATTATCCTCCCTTTTTGGAGTCCTTGGAAGGGCTACTGGAGAGTGCCCCTCCAGGGGACTTTCATGCCTCCATTGTTGAGGCAACTTATCAGAGCTGTGGCCACAAGGTTGCCAGTGCCTATCGCAACAGCAACCCTCCAACCCGCTGGTGGACACCTTCGGTGAGAGATGCTGTCAGGCTGAAGAAGGAGTCCTATCGGGCCTTTTTGGCCTGCGGGACCCTAGAAGCAGTTGATGGGTACCGGCAGTCCAAGGGATGGTTGCTGAGGCAAAAACTCGGGAGTGGAAAGAGTTCAAAGAGGCCCTGGAGAAAGACTTCTGCATAGCTTCAAGGCGATTCTACCCCACCATCCAGCATCTCATGAGGGGGAAGCAGTACAGCACCAACACTGTTTATAGTGGGGATGGTGTGCTGCTATGCTGACCTCAACTCGTGACGCTGTGGGCCAGTGGGCAGAATACTTAAAAGACCTCCGCAATCCCACCAACATGCCTTCCATTGAGGAAGTGGAGACTGGGGACTCTCGGTCGGGCTCTCCAATCTCTGGGGACGCCAAGGTGGTTAAAAAGCTTCCCGGTGGCAGGGTCCTGGACTAGATCTAGGACCCTCAACAGGATCCTGGAGGTTGCATGGGAGTTCGCCCAACTGGTCCACATGTGTATTGTGGTCTTGGAGAAGGTGTTCGACTCCTCGTCCCTTGGGGAGCCCTGTGAGCCCTTTGATATGGGCTGTTAGGTCCCTGTATGACCAGTGTCAGAGTCTGGTCTGCATTGCCAGCAGTAAGTCAGGCTCGTTTACGGTGAGAGTGAGACTCTGCCAAGGCTGCCCTTTGTCACCGATTCTGTTCATTACTTTCATGGACAGATTTCCAGATCAGCCAAGGTGTGGAGGAGATCTGCTTTGGTGGCATTAGGATCCCATCTCTGCTTTTTGCGAATGATGTCGTTCTATTAGCTTATCAGGTCATGATCTACAGCTTTCACTGGAGCGGTTCGCAGCCGAGTGTGAGGCGGTCGTGGGTCATGAACGAAAAGGAAAAGGTCACAGATACAAGCAGCTGATATGAGTTTTCTTTGCAGGGTGTCTGGACTTTCCCTTAGAGAGAAAAGCTCAGTCATCCAGTAGGGGCTCAGAGTAGAGCTACTGCTCCTTCACACTGAGAGGAGCCAGTTGAGGTGGATCAGCATCTGGCTAGGATGGAGACTCCCTGGTGAGGAGTTCAGGTTCTACTGGTAAGAGACCCAGAGGAATGGCTTAGGAATATAAAAACTTGTGTTCATCTGGACAGATTGGAGATGCGGTTCTCTAGAAGAAGAACAGAGCGACTGGAGGAAGACAAGATCCTTCAAGGTTTGAATCTAACATCAGTCTGTTGGTGAGAGCACCATGGGAACCTGAACCAGGGACCTGAATAGATGACGATGCAAAGAAGGATTTTTCATAAAACCAAGTCAATTCTGGCCAACCCTGAACATCCTCTTCATCAGAGTGTCTTCAGTCAGAGGCTTCTTTGCTGAGATTCGCTGTAACACAGACTGCTGCAGGAGATCTGTCCTGCCAACAGCCATTACGATCTACAACAACATTTAATTTCACTTTGGGACTAATAAAGTTCTTGAATTTGAATGTAATGCTATTATTAATACTATTAGCAATGTTATTAATACTATTATTTCAGTTTGTAAAGTTATTAATGCTGTTAATGTTACTAATGTTGTCATTCAGACGCCAGAGGCTGAAACCAAACCAATCATCTCCTGCTTTCCATCAGCCAATCACAGCTGTTACCTCGGAGACGGTGGTGGCTGAGAACTCTGATTGGTCGAAGATCCATCCATCCACGCATCCTTCGGTCTGCAGCTCGCTGGCGTTCAGAGACATGTTCAGGCTCAACATCTGCCACTGAGGCTCCACATACCTAAGTTAGGACAGGAAGTGATGTCAGAGATGTCACCACAAAGGAGAACAAAGGGCAGAAACCAGTTTACCTCCTGCAGCGGTCGAGTCTATTTCCTGAAGGATCTGGAGGGATGAAGACCTTCAGGAGCTGCTGCTCGTCCACCTGAAGCAGCCAATCAGAGCCCCGCATTAGAACAGCCAATCAGACTGCATCAGCTCTCAGTCACTCATTAATACTGCGATGTTTCATGCATGTAAAAACAAGAATATTGCGTAAACACGAGCAAACTTTTCCTGCTGTGGAAATGCGCAGCAGCCACACAAACTTTTTCAGTTAACGATAATGAAACTGGAGCTCATTTAGCCTGATATACAAAAACATATGAAGCAATAATTGATCTCCCGACCATTCCGGAGGATTCTCTGCTGAGTTTGAAGAAACATTTTCACTTGAATTGATAATTTATTTTTTATTTTTCTGTTATGTTTTGTAAGGTGACCCTGTGAGCCTGGAAAGACATGTGGGTTCATGCAGCTGAATGTTTCAGGATTCCTCCCATGCCTTGTGAGGAAAGCATGAAAACTCAAACTGTGAACTCTTATGGATGAGGCCCACGCTGAGCCTCCAGCAGCTTCATCATGTATCCTCTGCTGCCTCCTGATTGGCTGAGCGGCTCTTCCAGAACCTGGAGGAGAGACAGTTACCTGGTAGATGCGCCCCAGGTCATGCAGAGTCTGATTGGTGGCTGGTTTGCAGTGGTGGACCGGGATTCCTGAGACGAAGTTGTTGAGCAGGTTCTGACTCGCCGTCATCAGACCAGGTAAACTGATTAGGATCACATGGATCCACTGGTACCTGCCAAAGCCACCCACCTCATCATGGCAGCCAGAGAAGAGGAAAGTTACTCATCAGGTGATAGGAGTGCCGCAGAGGAAGAGAGCGGACTCACCTGGTCCAGCAGGTCGGTGAAGCCCATCCCAGCAATGCAATGGGGACAGTCAGGAGCGGCCAGGACACGTCAGGGTCCGAACTGCAGGTCCGTCACAGTAAAACTCATCAACCACCCAAAACCTACCCGCTAGCATCCCAGACCGTCCAAAACCCCGTCTCCCCGGGACCCAAAAGAAAGATCTGAACAGTCTGGGGAAATTCCTGAAGGATTACAGAAAAAGAAAAGAGGATTTTCTGGCTGTACTTACCGTCTGCAGGCTGCTGGAGGACTGGAGGACGGAGCTGAGTGGAGCAGCAGAGGACGACTGCAGGAGGTTAATGATTGGACGAGGAAACAGGACTGAGTTCAGCACTGAGCCACTCTGGTTGATGCCAACAGCCTCGGATCAATGAGTGTCCAGAAGGTTAACCTTTGACCCTATGGCTAGCTTCACCAGTCCACCTGCTGCTCTGACCCTGGTCGGTCCAGAACACCGTGTCCCAACTCTGTCCCACCCCCCCACCTCCGTCTGTTTCACTGACCCGGCTCCTCGCTGGGCTCCTCTTGGACCAGCTGAGTCCCAGACAACAAACATCCCAGCATGTCGGCCGAGCCTCGCAGCATCTGTGGTCAGTCACATAGTTTGTCACATAGAGCCGCTCAGCCAATCAGGAGGCAGAAGAGGAGACATGATGAAGCTGCTGGAGGCTCAGCGTGGGCCTCATGCGTAAGAGTTGACAGTTTGAGTTTTCATGCTTCCCTCACAAAGCATGGCGGGAATCCTGAAGCATGAACCCGCATGAGGTCGCATTGCGTTCCTCCATTCGATCTGCATAAAGCAGAGCTGCAGGTGTAGCGAGGACCGCCCTGGCTCCGCCCACAAATACATAAATACACACAATGCTCCCGTCATGAGTACCAGTACAGTCCAAAAACTAAAAAAGACATCTTTCTAGACTCACAGGATCTCCTTACAAAACATAACAGAAAAAAGAAAAAACAAAGTAAAATTTAGAGAATATGATCAGTTCATGGTAGCATTGCTGCCTTGCAGCCAGAAGATCCTGGGTTCGATTCTGAGACCTGGGCTGGGTCTCAGTTTGCATGGTGGATTCTCTCTGGGTACTCCAGCTTCCTCCCATACACCTCAAGCGTGTTTGTGTGTGTGTGTGGTTGTTCGTCCTGTCTGTCTCCGTAATGAACTGATGACCTGTCCAGAGACGCATGAGAGGATCACAAGAATATAAATGTTTTCTATTCATAAAGATCACAGACACCCAGGGACCGGGCAGTAGGATGAAGTCCAGCTTAGGGAACCTGATGAACCAACAGGTGACCTCCGCTCTGCTCCAACCTGGGTTAGGTCATACCTCAACAGTAGTTCTTCCTCTACTGCTCCGGCCTAAAGGCATCCCCCGGGGCTCGGTGCTCATCTGGTCATCCTCTACCTTCTCCCTCTTGGAAGCTTCTCCCTTCAGCCTCCATCTTCACTGCTATGCAGAAGACCTTTCACCTTTACATTCCACCAAACCTTTCCTAAGCTGAACCATGACAAATGTAACGACAGACTGCGTCCATCCTACACTCTCACTCCCTCAGCCTATGTAGTGCAAGGAAGCAGCTGTATCCTCAAGGTGATGCAATGTGAGGCGAGACGCTCACTGCAGTCTGTCAACCTAGACAGGCAGCAGGACCTGACGGTTGTCCTGGACGTCATGGCATTTCTGGACCTGATGGCGTTCTTGGACCTGGTGGCATTTCTGGATCTGACGGTGTTCCTGATGGCTGGGTCTTTAGATCTTTAGTCTGTTCCTGTCTCATGTTCACCATAATTCACATTCCTGTAAAATCCCCCATCACCTTCCTGACAGGTGATGGGGGCTCTCACCTCATTGGTGAGGAAATGTTCTGAAACTGGTTCAGTCACATCTGATACCAGATTGTAGCAGGTCAGCTGGAGATGCGGTTCCCTCTGTCCTCCATGATGAGTTCCACTTGGAGCTCAACTCGGTCCACTTCAGATCTGCTTCCAGTACCACCCTTCCTGACTGACTGGTGTACTAACTGGAAGATCTGGTAAGTCCCTTCTCCACCTGCTGCTGGATTAAGGACTTCCTGACGGAGTCAGAGTGGGCCGCACACCTCTTCAGAGAGCTGGAGGTCTGGGCCCCATAAAGGGACCAGTTTGTGTTCCTCTGCTGTTGGAGTGTCCTCTGCTGTTGCCTCTGGGTGCAGCAGCAGAGGACGACTCTGCTCTGTCTGGGTTCTGGTCAGACTCAGTGAGTCAGGATGACTCAACTTTTTGTGGATTTTTAACCCAGTACTGGTGAAAGTTTAAATCCAGGTCTGGTCAGGGGATTAGGGGGAGCAGTCTCACCCGGTTTCCTTAGCAACGGTAATTTGTTGATGCTTTAGATTACAGCACAGGACCAGATGGACCCACTCTGGACAGATGTCCATTACTGATTACTGGTCCACCCACCTGACCGGAACCAGATCAGACTCGGTTCAGCGATTTCTGAGCAGCAATGTCTGGAACTATTGAAACATTCAGATCCATTATCGGAACGCTGACTGGAGAGCTTCATGCCTCCATGACAACCAGAAAATACAGGTTAAATAAACATAAAAGGCAAAAAAAGTTCAGATTTTTAAGATCTATCAGCATCTTATTCAGAGCCGGATTCAGAACAGCGCAGAACCGGGCCGTTTCCATTAAGAACCAGAACCAATAACAGACTCAGAGCAGTTTGGGTCCAATTTCATTTATTTACAGAATCTAGGAAGTGATGTGTTCACTGTCACCTCAGTGTGTAGGAAACAGGAACATTTCCAGTGTTTGAGAGCCATAAAAAAAATCCTGAAGCATAAATACACATTCTCTCTCTCACACACACACACACACGCACACGCATGCACTGAAGCACTTTCACTATAAAAATTTAACAAATAAAATTTTACAAAGTCGCAATAGGGGGACATCATAACGAGCTGCTGTCCAATCAGAAGCCTTGCTGTTGACATTCTGTGAGGTGATTGGAGAAGCTTCATAGCGTGCTGAGAAACTCCCTGACCTGCAGGACAAATGAATGTCATGCGAGCAGACTTTCAGAATAAAAGCTGTGTTCAACTTTCAGAATAAAAGCTCCATCAGACTTTCAGTATAAAAGCACCTTATCAACGATGTCTTCTTGTTTGATCCGATCGTTCTGAAAGTCTTCGTTCACGTCCAGAACCAGAACAGGAAGCTCATTGAGGTACTCAAAGTCCAGCCTGCACACACAGAAAAAATATTTTATCTCACTGACCCTGAATGCAGCAGCAGCAGCTATCTGAGCATGCTCACTTACCTGAGGTTCCTGTCGTAGAGCCACGCCTCGTGTTTGAAGTGCAGCTGCTCCAGATACTCCAGAGGGATCCCCTGCTCCTCCTGCCGGCCGCGGTGCAGCAACCGCTGCATGCAGCGCTGCAACACACAGAGGACCTTGAAAGCACCGCCAGCAGGTTCACACACACAGAGGACCCTGAAGGCACTGCCTTCTGAAGAGCTGCTCTGTTTATATCAGTTATTCAGACCCAGCCAGGCAACTGACCCGGTGTTGCTCTCAGAACCAGGACGGTCACCTGGCGGGGGGGGTTAGGAAGAGGTCGTTTACCTGCGGAGGGGCTCTCAGGTAGATGATGGCGTCCAAGGCGATATCAGGTTCAAACTGGTTCAGCAACCAGGTGTGCCAGTCCTGGTAGACGCTCCACTCCGTGTCCAGCAGGTTGCCGCTCTCAAACAGGTTGGACGCAAAGACGTACCTGAGACAGGTGGAGAGGTGGAGAGGGAAACGGTTCTGTTGGGTTTCAGTCAGAATCTCGAGCTGAACCAGAACCCTGACAGAACCTGCCAGGTGTTGCCGTGACGATGACCTTTCACACTCAGCCACAGAAACTTAACAGTTTGATTTGTCTAGAAAATCCAGATCAGGTTCTGGTTCTGGTCAGTACCTGTCTGAGTAGACAGAGCGTTCGTAGAACTGAACCGGGTTCTCCGCCTGCTGCAGCTTGGCTGATGGAGGCTGAAGCTGAGACCGGACTCTGCTGAGGCAGGCGTAGCTCTGCATAGGCGAGAAGTAGATGAGACACAGGTGAAACACAGGTGAGGCGCAGCGCAGCCTCAGGGGGCGGAGTCTGCTGCACTTACTTGGAAGGTGTAGGCCCAGCGGCTTGGCTTGTCGTACAGCATCTGCAGGAGGTTCCCTCCACTCTTCTGGGAGGAGCTCAGCTCCTAGGTGCATAGACAGAGGTCAGGTTGTCTTGCTGATCAGTTTGGAGAAACTTTCATCCTTGAGTCTGAAGAAGCTCAACTTTCATATTAGTCTTTAAAATACCAAAACATCAACATTACTTTCTATTTTTCAGCTGCAGTTTTTTCCTGCTGCTTCATATTGTTTGATCCTTGAACCCATTAATGAATTTATGAACGTTTAACTTTCTTCATAACTTCTCTCCAGAACCACCAACATGAAATGAAGCAAACATCACAAAAGAGTCCATTCTGGTCTCTACAGATCTACAAAAGGAAGCTCCTCCCACTTTGGAACAGCCTCTGATTGGCTGCCTCAGCTGCTCACCTGGTAGACATCGTCGCCGTCGCTCTGAACGTTGCACCACTTCCCGATCGGTTCTGGGATCACCTCCCAGTCTGAGGAAGACGCCTGGAGGAGGCGGACGAAGGTGGATTTACCTGCAGCTGCGCGCGCACACACACACACACACACACGATCAGTAATGATTCATCAGCTGATCAGCAGCCACTGACTAAACCAGGACCCATCAATCAGCTCCTCTCCTACTGAACCCGACAAACCGAAAAACAAGAATCCAGCCGACAGTTCAGCTGCCGGCCACAGGGAGTGATGCAGTGAGATGTGACGAAGTGCAGTGTGATGCTGAGTGGAAAACAGACTACCATTTCTCTTCTTCGTAAACACGCCATCGTCCCTCCTAACTTTGCCGTTTTATCTTGGACATTTTTATCTGTCAAACATCCAGAGAGGTCAAAGATCCTTATAATTCATAGTCTCTAGAGTGTTTTAAATGTTGAATATACATTTAGTAATGTACTGAGCAATATGTGTGTCCTTAAGACCATCACTGCTCATTGTTATTTGTTATTGTTGTATGTTTATTCTTATAACTTTATTTATTTTATGTTTTATTGTGTGCTAAGCTGGGACAAACCAACTCCCCCCCTCTAGGGATCAATAAAGTCTTAACTTTTAAAACTACCACCTTTATTCTGGATAACACAGAACCTCTACCTGACATTACAAAATATTTTTTGATCAAATCTTAAGCCTGAAGAAGTTGTGAGCAGACGCTGCAGAAGAACATTAATGAAACGGATCAGAAGATTCTCAGTCCAAGTCCAGCTGAACCAGTTCACCGTCCTCTGGGCTCAATGGGTGTCCAAACAACGCAACAATGTGGGATTGATTAATAAGAGATGGTACATGTACATAAAAGAAATGTCTCTATTTTTATGCTTCCCCCTTTTTTTGTAAATGGAAATGTTAGAGAAGGAATTCTGAAATTTATCACAGACTGGAACTGTGACTTTTAGGCTACAATCAAGCTCTTGTAATTTTTTCAATGTTTCAAAAACAAAGAAGTTTAAAAAGCATAAATATGGAGGCTTTATATTTGGTGGGCCTGTCTGGTCCNAAACNGTCCAAAACGCCCGGGCCGCCTTTTTGTTGCAGACGGACGGGTTGTGGTTGGCTCAGGGTCTGTTCTTGAGTCCAGAGCTTCTGAGGTGGAACTCACCGATGTTTCCCTCGATGGAGATCTTCCTGTGTCTGCGGGAGCCGGAGAGCGGGGAGCCGGAGAGCGGGGAACCGGTCGGAGCTCCGCGGAGCCGCTTCGGAGGAGTCGCCATGTCTGACCGGTAATCACGGGAGGATTTCTTCAGGCTGCGGATGTTTATCTGTCCAGCTGGTCTTTCTCTGAGCGCGCGCGCGCTGAAACTGTGAAAAAAAGCGCGACTCGCTTCACAGATTAAATTCCGCGCTCACAGCATTCTGCTTCCGGGGCGGGGCTTCATTTTCCTATGTGTTTTATTGGCGGATGGCAACTAACTTAAGGTGCATTTACCGCCACCTACCGGACTGGAGTGTGGTCTACAATGATATTCAGAGGGAATTTAATAATACTTCTTTCACAGAGCCACCGGGGACTTTAAGGGTTTTTTACAACTGTGGGGTTTTAAGAGTGTTTTGTGCACCATTTGTAATCAGAGACAGCTACTATATATTAAGCTGCTTATGTAAATATTTATTTATTTATTTATTTATAAGTATGTATGCTGTAAGTATGTCCTCATCATGTATTTAATTGTGTCTTGTTAAATTATTGTATAAATAAATGTTTTGTTAAAAATCAAACAATCAAATCTTCTTTTTCTTCTTCTATTTTTTAACTTTATCAAAACAAGTATAATTATCCCAAATCACAATAGTGTAGCTCTATAAAGGACATTGCAGAGGCGGACTCATGGGACTGCAAAAGAATAGCTGATTTAAAAAATAATAATAAAAATACTACGGAGAACTACAACAAGGAGATAAACGTTTTAGGATTAACATGCGTGTTTCATATGTTTCAATATATTTCAGAGATTTCAAATATAACTGGAATTCAGATAAAATAATGTTAAAAACTGGGGACTAATGGAAAATTTTATGATGTGCTCCTCACCCCCTTTTGTTCTTTAGATGATGAGATCACGTGTTTGCATGATCTTATCATGAGATTGATCAAGCTGCTCTCCTATAGACTTCCACAGTGCCATATAACAGCAGGGGATGTCCTTGATCCTGGAGACTATCTAGTTGCTTGCCCAACCCAGAACTTATCTGCCCCCTTTAGCAAAGAACAACCCCCTATCCTTAACAATAGACAAGTGACCAGATCATTTGTTTTACTTGTTTTACTTCCTTTGAACTCTCAGCTCCATATTGTCATTAAAATCTTCCTGAACTTATTTCAGCCCAGTCCTCCATAAAAACACATTTTCTTCTTCTCAATGTGACTGTTATTCCACTGAGGATCATGGTTCATTGATGTTGCAAGCAACGATATGGCACCACATACTGGTTAGTGTGTGTGTTTCCTCCACCATAAAAACCCAGAGGACGATCCTGAATCTGGGTCCCACGGATCCACCTGATGAAGGTTAAAGGTCGACAGCTGAAAATGAGATTTAATCCATCTAAATGGATTATATCCATTTAAATGGATTACAACTGTAATCCATACAACTGTTTCACATTGTATGGCCTCAGTCTGAGTAATCATTACATATGGTGTTTTTATTTTGAATATTTATTCATTATATTTTCAATAAACAAGAACATTTTCTAATTAATATTTTAACAGGTAATTTTTCATTGTTTAAATCTAAACCAAATTTTATAAAAGCAGTTTAAAGAGTGAATCAGAATGGTTGAAAACCTTTGATGGATCTAAATGTTTTATTATTCCTGCATTATTTTCTCATTTCTTTCCACTCTGAACTTTATGATCCGGTTCATGTTTTGTGTTCAGACATGTCTGCCTTGGTTTTGTTTCCATCTGCCTTGGTTTTGTTTCCATCTGTTCAATGTTTGTTTGAAAAACATTCTCCGTTCACCGCCGGGGGCAGTGACGCACCCGGATGTCCTCCACGCCGCTGCTAGCCGAGAAGAAGAAGAGGCGCATGATGGCAGCTCCCGTGGATCTGGAACTGAAGAAGGTACCGAGGTTCTGATTCTGGTTCTGTCTGGTACTAAGTGGTACTCTCTGCGCTCACCTGCTTCCGGTCCGGCCATGCAGAAAGCTAACAGCTAGCAATTAGCCTGCAGCATCTAGCTAGCCGGAACCAGAACCTCATTTATGGATAAGTGTGGAAGGTTCGGGGTTCTGTTAGAGCGGTTCCAACTTTTTGGTTCCTCTGCAGTCGGGTTTGGACCTTCCTTAGAACCCGGAGAACTCTTCTGTTTCTAAACCGATGATGATGATCATTATCGCTTTTCTTTGCGAGATTCCGCCCCGCTCTCCTCATGATGCAGCCGCTCTGCTAAGGTCAGAACCCGGAGAGCCTCTGCTCTGAATCATAGTTGAGAGTGCATAAAAGAGTGCTCAGTTGTCACACTAAAACAAACTTGGCGTACGGACAAATTTTGGAAAGTGTGGCGCACAAAAAAAAAAAAAAAAAAATCCGGATGTGTAAAGCTGTGCGCACGCTGCGCACTTTGCCTTTATAAATCCCAATTTGCGGGAAATAGAGCGCAGCTGCTGGTCCGCCCTGTCGCTTCCCATAAATACATATGTAAATTAGTTTAAATACCCGGAAGTCTGCCACCACGTGAAGTTATAGCCATGGCTACGGTCCTTGTTTGTAGCAAGCATTTATAATAAAAATAATTATAGATTTATTTAAAAGGTGCTTTTAGGGCACTTAAGTTCCCCTCACAAAAATAAAGCATTTTAAAGGAAGAAAATTCAACTTAAAAAGACAATAAAGAGATGCCTATTTGAATAGCAGAGTGTTCAGCCGGGATTTAAAGACAGGCAGCCTGTCAGAGTCATTTGAGTGGGGAATGTGGACCTTTATTCTAAATAGTGGAATCATGTGCATAAATTGTACATTTACAGAATAGAGATGCTTTCTGTCCATAAAGGCACATTCACAGAGCGGGCATGGCTGACTGAAGGATGACTGCACGCCTACTTCTTTAAGTTTGGCTCAGAGCTCCAGGATGATCAGTCTGGTCAATCTAAACGCGTATAAACCATCATCAACATTTCCCGGCAGATCAATATGATCTCTGAACACACACTCCCTCTGAATCCTTCCATTGGCGATGTTCTCCATCAGAGTCAAAGTGCTCTGATGGAGAACATCGCCAGAACATGTTTGGAGTTAATCTGCTGATCCAACCCTGTTTTCTTTTTTAGTGAGAATGAAATGACCCCATCCATAGATGCATTTCATGCGCTTCGATGCACAGACTGATGCGTTACATCTTTGAGCCAAAAACTGAGGAAAAGTTCCATTTACATTGGAGTGGGGTTTTCACATCCTTTTATTTTTATCTTATTTATTTTGTGTGCGTGTTATTGTCTGCGGATAAATGCGGTTCAGTTTCATTGTTTACGTTTAAACTATAACATATTCAAATAAAAAAAAAACATCAGGTTTGATGCTTCTTGGTCTAAATAACTAAATGTAGTCAGATTTCAGTGTATTTAGGTGAGTTTTGACGTTTTGTAGTTTGTTATTGTCCACAGAAAAAATTTGCGTGGCTGCCGCACATTTTCACGCCAGGGAAAAACAGAAATATTTACGTAAACTTTGACGCAAAGTTCATTTTTATACATGCCGACTTGTACGTAAAATATGGTGGCACACATTTTCTGTGCATACGCACGCTTTATACATGAGGCCCCAGGTCCTCCAGGCCTGGAGGTTTTCTGCAGCTTCTAGGCATCTGCTTCAACACACATGAGAATAATGAGGTCAACAGCAGAACTCGGCAGGAGACTCAGATGTGTTGGACCAGGGACATGTCCATAGGTTGAAGGACATGTCCCTCAATGACTGGAGCAAAGACTCCACTGTAGGCCCTGAAGCTGCAGATGAAGTGACGTCTCCTGTCATGGGGCTGTTTTTTATCTCAGAGTGACGCCTTCTGTTGTTGGGGCTGTTTTTTAGCTCACAGTGTCCCGTCCTGTTGTTGGGGCTATTTTTTTGTTGTTTTTTTTAGCTCAGAGTGATGCCTCCTGTCGTTGCAGGCCTTCTCGGAGCTGCAGGTGAAGATGATCGACACGCAGCAGAAGGTGAAGCTGGCCGACCTGCAGATTGAGCAGCTCGGTCGGGTTCAGAAGCACACCAAGCTGACGCAAGCCGAGATCTCCACTCTGCCTGCCAACACACGGCTCTACGAGGGCGTCGGCCGCATGTGAGTGGCTCCACCCTGAGCCGTGACATCATTGGCAAAGGGGGTAGTTGGTTACTGTCTGCCATTTCAGGTTTGTCCTGCAGTCCAAGGAGGAGATCGACGACCTGCTGACGGACAAACAGAAGACGGTCGACGACAAGATCAAAGAGCTGGAGGTAAAGAGCTGAGATTTACTGCACGCCCTGAACACAACACGGTTCTGCTGCGGGTCCAGCTGGCGCGGCAGGTCTGGTTCTGCAGAACTGAGTTGTGACCTTCATCATCCCGAGGCGGCTCAGACGTTATCATTTACTCAAAAAGCAGAAACTCACTTTTTAACATTTGTTCTGAAAGAAATTGGAGGATTTACTGTTAGCCTATCAGGTTCTTCCAAAGCCATGACATCATCACACTCAGCCTGGTTTGTGTTTGTATGGGCCGCTCTGACCTCTGACCTGTGTGTGTTCAGCAGAAGAAGGTGTACCTGGAGCGCAGTGTCAAGGAAGCGGAGGACAACATCAGAGAGATGCTGCTGTCCCGGCGAGCCCACTGACCAATCAGACTCACTTCCTACTCATAATAAACTCATTAAGCTCCGCCCTGTTTCCCGTCTGTTTGATGATGTCACAAAAGCATGCTTGCATCACTTCTTGTTTGCTTTATTAACAGCTGATACAGCAGGTTATGTAATCAGAAAGCAAGCTCCTGATTGGTCGAGTCTGAAGTCTGGCGATGCAATGTCCTGGGGTACCTGAAGTATCCTGTAGCTTTAACCAATCAGGAACCTCAACCATTCGTTTGATAATCTGTTTCTGTGATGTCATGATTACATCATCCAGTGTGGTCGTTATTGGGGTTCTGGACGAAGTTGATGGAGTAGGAACCGCTGGACGGGTCCTGATTGATCTGGAAGTTGCTGGTGGAGAGTCCGAACGGCCGCAGGATCAGGTTGCCCAGGTCCTTCAGCTTACCTGGACAAGGAGACACGTTCAGGGACCAGGTCCTCATAGCACAGATGCGGTGCGTTCAAGAGCAGTACGTACCCATCATCTCCTCCTTTAGCTTCTCGTTTCGCTCCTGAATCTGCTGAGGCAGCCGCTGAGGAACACACAGGTAAGGGTGGTACAGGTGAGGAGGGCACAGGTGAGACGGGGACAAAAGGACTTTAAACTGAAAGCTTAACTGAGGGTTTGGATCAAATTTGGTGTACAGAATCTGAAACATAGTGAATTTATCGACACATTTTCCTTACGGAGTCAGAACCAGACTTCAGCACTCGTTGGTCCCAGCAGTCAGTGAACTCACCATGCAGGCCTGCCGGGCTCCGTTGTGGCTTGGATCTCGCTCCAGAACCTTTTTGTAGTCCTCCAGAGCTTCATCAAGCTTCTCTGACTTCTCATAAAGCTCTGCCCTCCTCAATAGCGCCCGCAGGTACTCCGGATCCAGGTCTATTGCTATGGTAACCAGAGCCAGTGTGCTTATTGGTTAGCTTATTTAAAGTAAAAGGTAATGAAATAATGTGATGACTCACCTCTGCTGCAGTCTGAGATGGCCTCGTCCTTCAGCTCCTGAAAAGGCACAAAGCTGTTAGCATTCTGTTAGTACAAACTGTTGGCATAATGCTAATACACTTAACATTATTTAACAGGAGAGTTGGGTTAGCTGAGTCCACTCATATCAAAAACTAGATGCAAAGCAACAAAGCCAAGAAAGCTCAAAGAAACCAACATTTAGAATATTTAAAAACGTAGGGGCCAACAGGCTTTATTGAAGTAGCATAGCATTAGCATCACCTTAGCCTAATCAGAAGCAGCATGGCGTTAGCATAACGTCAGCATCACGTTAGCCTTACCAGTTGTAGCATAACGTTAGCATCACGTTAGCCTCACCAGGAGCAGTATAGCGTTAGCATCACGTTAGCCTCACCAGGTGCAGCATAGCGTTAGCATCACGTTAGCCTTACCAGGGGCAGCCAGGCAGCCGCTCGGTTGGAGAACAACACCGCTCTCTCTCTGCTGCAGCTAACCGGACATAGAGCCAAGGCCTGTGTGTAGCTTAGCTCCGCCTCTTTCCAGTCTGCAGGAACACAAACACAGTTACACGGAGGGGAACAAGGCGCCTGAACGCATCATGACCTGAACCCTGGGCAGAACTGAACTCACCTCCAGCTTTGAATAGGCCGTTTCCCGTTTCCTTCAGAGCGATGCTCTGCTGCCGACGACTCTGAAACAGAAACACACAGAGCTCAGATTTACTACCCAGAACCTGATGCCTGAAAGCTCCACAGACTGGTGTGAACTGACCTAAACTGGTTTAAACTGGTTAAGTTATGAACTGGTTGTAATGGTGTAAACTAGCTTGAATTGGTTTAACTGGTTTAAACTATGGGGAACCGTGGAGCAGAGACTGGTGTTACCTCCTTCTCCTCCTCCGTCAGCTCCTTCTCCACCTCCCTCAGGTAGTCATCGTCAAACTCCACTCTGGACGTTTCTTCATCTGAATCCTGAAAGACCTGACGCTCCTCTTCCTCCTGATGGTCCTTTTCCTCCCCTTCTCCCTCTGTCCATCGCTCCCTCTCTGCGTCTCCTCTCCCACATATTCTGTCTGTTTTCGGAAGCTCTTCCTCCTTCTCTTCCTCCTTCGTCTCCATGCTATCCTGACAGTCGTAGAAGTCTTCCTCCTCTTCCTCCCTCTGAGCTCCTCGGGTGCTCATCCTGAAGCTGAAATGAGACGTTCACTGACCTTCTGACCCTCCAGCTGGACCTCAGATAGACACCACAACCAGTTTAAACCTCCATTATCATCGTCTTCATCATCCTGAGCGTGATCACGTGATACAGCAGGTCGGAGATCTTAGATCAGCTACACACTAACAGTTAGCTGCTGAGCTAGCTGTTGCTGAAAAGCCACCCTGTGACGTCAGTGGGCTGAAGCGATCCGGATCAGAGTGACGTCATCATAACGTCTCTCAACAAGTTAAACGATTAAATATTAAAAGCAGATGATTTCACGCCGTCTCACCTGAAAACACCTCACAGACAGCCGGGTAGGCTGACGTCACTTCCGGGTTCTTCTTCTTCTTGATTTATTTTTTATTGGCAAGAAACGTAATGGTAATTACCGCCACCTACTGACATGAATTTATACAAACATTATCCATCCATCCATCCATTTTCTTCCCCCCTTTATCCCAGTGGGGTCAAGGGGTCAGCTGGTGTCTGTCTCCAGAGGTCACCAAGCGAGAGGTGGTGTCACTCTGGACAGGTTGCCAGTCCAGCAGGGCTACAAACATTATCATATTTTATTAATTATCTTTGTCTTCCAAAAAAACAAACTAAAATGTGAATATTTTTACTATCTAAATTTACCTGATGCACACGTAGTAAATTAAATATTTAATTTAAGTATATACCTGCCTGGATGCTTCTGATTTGATTTTAGGTTTTAATTCTGGTTTTTAAGTTTTCAACACTCAGACCGCTGCTTGTTTCAGTTCATGTCTATATAAAGCAAACAGAAACAGAACATCATGTTGTTTAAGTGTAGCCTGATCTGATTAACAGCTTTTTTAGTTTTCCAATTCACCGATATTTCCTGCTTTTAGTGACTGAAAACACATCAATTCCTGGTTTTCAAACCTCTTTTCTTTCATAATCCAGATTATCTAAAATGATCAGGATGTTCTGATCTTTAGTGATCCATTTATTTGTTTATTTATTGTAAGAGTTTTATTGGTCACGTTTTATTTTATTGTCTTGTAGAGAACTTTGGTCTCTCTGGGTGTGTGAAGTATAAATAAAGATTTATGGATTGATTGATTGATTATTGAAGCTTCTGGTCTGGACCGGGTCATATCAGGTCCATGATGCAGCATAACCAATGGCATCATCATGCTGCGGTGAATGTTTCCATCATGGCTGAAGCTCTGTGGAAATAATCGCCAGTTAACTGAACCAGAGTTTCCCATCATAGATGATGATGTCGCACCTGGCCACACTCCCACAGTGGGCGGAGCTTCCATGAAGCACATTAATAAACAGGAAATGATTACTATCTGAAGCAGGTCCAATCAGCTTCCATTTTAGCTCAGATTCTCCACCAGTCCACCTTTTACCATGGAAACCCAGGGAAACCAGGAAGGAAACCTGGTGCTGTCAGCTGTTACGACCAGGTCAGAAATCAGAACTCAACTCAAAAGATATCAACACTTTTTTATTTCTTTCAATTACATTTTTGAGATTTAATCAAATTTCAAAAGTTTACTGCTCTGATTAAGAAACTTCCCCGAGTCCTCCATGTTACGGAGAGGAAGATGAGGAGGAGGAAGAGGAAGAAGAAGAGGAAGAGCGTCTGGTCTGAGCAATCCAGGAGGCGAAGGCTGACACTCGGGCGTAGCCTCCAGGTTTCTGGGGTCGTGCACAGCCAGCGCCGAATGAGATCACACCTGTCAGGAGCCATCGGAGATCAGAGAGCAAGTTACAGAGAAAGACAGAGAGAGAGAAAGAGAGAGAGAGAGAGACTAACCAATCTGAGTCCAGTGTCCATCCTCCTCACACATCAGTGGACCTCCAGAGTCTCCCTGCAAAGAGACAGAATATTCCCAGTTCAGTGAAAAGCTGGAACGATCTCTGACCAATCAGCTGTCAGATCATTTCTGACCCTCAGTCAGTCATTGGACCAGCTTCCTGAACTAGTTTAACTTGTGGTGATTGTGCACCAAATGTCCAGGTAAGACCAGGTGAGCAGTTACCTGGCAGCTATCAACTCCGCCCTCAGGGTAACCGGCACACAGAATGCTAGAGGTGATTGTGTACTCAGGTAGGAGGAGCTGGCACTCAGCCTGCTCCACCAGAGGAAGCGCCGCCTCCTGGAGGACGTCAGGAAGAGAACCTGCAACTCAAACAGGTGAGATAGTTAAAGGAGGGGGTTGTAACAGGTGAGAATACGTTGGGTTCCGCTGGCCGTTCTCGCCTCTAACCTGCTTCTGCTTCTCGGCCCCAGCCGGCAATGAAGCATCTCCTTCCTGCAGCGAAATTCTGACCTTCAGCAGCCAAACACACAGGCTGAACCCACTCTGCAACACACCAAGGGCCACCATCAGTCTGAAAGATAAAACTCTGAAAGAGTTGTTATCTGTTTGGCTGATGGTAAAAACAGTCAGGGCTCTGTCTGGGTTGACAGAGC